AAAAAATTGTTCCTTTTCTTCTGGCAGCCGCCTTTTGTAATGCATTGATCCAGAGCCTGGAGTCAAACCCTTTAACCAAAATAGCCTGGAGGGCAGCGAAGCCCTTACTGATGGGAAAAATCCTCTTTACTCCTGACTCCCCTGCAGCGCAAAGGATACTAAAGAACGTAAGATCCCACAGCTGGTCCTGTGTCTCATACACGGACCTCCAGTGTAAGCCTCTGTGTGTGTGAAGGGGGAGGGGATGGATATACCTGCAGGCTCTCCTCCCAGTGAGTCCTGTATTTGTTTTTTGCTAGTGGAATCCTGGATTTTCTCCCCCATCTACAGCCATCAGATGTACATACAGCTCCCCTGCCCCTGCCTGGTCCTCACTCCCTATGCAGCCTACAATAAGGTTTTCCTTCCTGATGCTTGAATTACATCCCTAATGGACAGATTCACAATTCTCTGAATTCTGGCTTCCTGGAAACATCACAGATAGGAAGGAAGAGTATTTGATCACTAGGAGTCCCAATATAGTTTTAATGAGGTTCTGAGAAAATGACATCAATATTATATATACCTCTGAGATACTAAGAAATTAGATTCTGTCAGTCTGGAAGGCTGAGAAATTGTCATGTCCTAGAAAATATCAATAGATTGGGGTGGGGGGGGAACATTACCATGGAAAACCTTTCCCAAACATTAACGGTTACAACAGGGCAAGAAAGATACCAAAGGTCCTTTCTCATTTTTCTCTTCACTCTTGCCTCTTTCCCTATCTGGTTTTAGGCCAACTCAACTTTTGAAGAACTAGCACGTCTCAGGAAGCTGGTCAAAGCCTGGGAGGAAGTAGGACCCCAGATCTGGTATTTCTTTGAAAGCAGCACACAGATGACTATGATCAGAGTAAGGATGGCTTGCACTAGAGGGTGGAGAAGAGGGAGGCGGTTTCCTTCTCACAGGAAATCACTAGAGGAGTTACCCTAGAGCAGCCAGATCAAACATACAATAAGCAGGTCCCAGAGGCACTAGTTCTGGAAGCTATTGCCAAGTGGATTCACTGACTTTAGATAGGAATTGTGTTTCTCGAGTTCTGGGGGGAAATCTAAAAGGTACCACAAGAACTGTGGCTTCCTGAGTTTCTTGCTTTTATGAATTCACCTGAGGGCCTCAGATTTGAATGGGCATCTCCCTAAGGGGCCAACTCTGTTACCGCAAAAATGGTTGAGTGTGTTTGTCTGATCCCATTTGTGGCTTTGCAAAGTCAAGAGACAAGGATTCTATAGTCGGGCGTGGCAACACACCTATAGTGCCAGCTACTGAAAAGCTAAGGCAGAAGGATCACTGAAGACTGGGAATTTAAGGCCAGCCTGGGCAACATAGTGAGATCCTGTTTCAAAAACAAACAAACAATAGCAACCAAAAAAAAAAAAAAAAAAAAAAAAA